AAAAAGAAAAATTAGAATCTGTTCTGACAAGATTCTTCGACACTTTTTCAAAAAAAAAAAGCACCTCTCTCTGACGGCCGATAACCGCGATAAACACGCATCGATTAAAAAGAAAAAAAAAAAGGGAGAGAGGATTTAATGCAAATGTATTCCGAATATATTCGTATATCCGTTTCCACGCTAGATTATTTTCCTCTTCTCGCGAGAATAAGCGATTATCGTTCACCAACGTGATATAATTATTTTAAAGTTCACGTCCAAGATTCAAACCTAAGTGAATTCGCTCGAAAGGGGATACGCGAGGCGGGGATTTAAATTATCCCATTGTTACGTGTACTTTTTCACCGGATTCCTCGGTATTATTTCTTGACCTGAATTTCAGCCGAAACCGTTTGCGCCAGCACGAATTTTATCACGCTTTATTTGCTCGAGGGTGCTGAGAAGGCGTAATAAACGTGTGGCTAACGATCACCTCGTTACGCGGCCCACCTATACCAAGTTTTACGAATATTCGTGAAAAGATGGCCCCCTCCTCTTCTGGTCGCATCGCGGGGAAGATATCAAAAAACGTTGTGTTTATTTATTTAATAAAGATTCTCATCGACGTCCTCCCTACGTACCAATGATTTCCATCGATATTTCTATCTCGGGGAGAAAAAGAAAAAAAGGAAAAAAAAAAAAAGAAAAGACGATTATTGGATATGCATATCGGAGCAAAAAGAATTAAAACACTGCACGGCTCATCGAAACTCGTAAAAATTATATTTCCGCGGCAATGAAAGATCGTAAATATTCTGAGGAACTACAGGCGGACAAATGAATCGATACTGATGAAATAATAATCGTTGCTTGCTTGCTTCGAAACAAATAAAATATAAAACATAAAAAAAAAAAGAAAAAAAAGCAGCGGAAAGAAGATTGAACGAGATCGGAGCTAGTTTACAGGAACGAAACAGCGAGGAAAATCCGCATCGAGTTTTTCGTTTGCGAGAGTTTGCCAGAGGCACGATAACTACGTTATCCCGAACACCGGTGGATGTTGGGCAAATTTTCCCTATAGTTATCTGTATGCGGCAGTCGTTGCAACGCCGACGACGTTGACGGTGTTCATTAATTTGGTGAATTAAAAGTAGCAGGGCGTACGTCGAACCCCTAATTCCTACGCCCGTGATTGGTCGTGTGTACAGCAGGGAGTGCATCGTGGCCAGAGTTCGATGCGTTCGGCGAGACCATCCCTCCACACGTACGTAGTATATAACGTGCTACGTGCGCGCCTTTAAAACGTTATTCGGTTGGAACGGTCAGTGATGCGAGAGAATAATGGACAATGACCAATGAAATATTAATAAAAACAAAAGGAAGGGCCGAAGAACGAAGCTTTTGCTGACGGCGGAATAACCGTAACGATTTCTCGTTACAGTCCCTGATATTTCGCGAAAAGAGATAATCCTCGCGTCCCACGTACAAAGCAAGCTTACATTATTTCTCGTCGACAGGGAGGATATATCTTTTGCCGCTTTCTACTTCAAAGACTTTTCCCGGTTAACAAGCTTAACGGGGCGTATCTTGATCGAAATGGAATTATCCGTTAATGCCGCGATATTTATTCATTTGGTAACGCGACAAATTGACGCGTTGGAAACGAGGTGTAAAATATCGATCGCTTCCGATCTCCCGTCAACCGGGGAAAAACGAAAACGACGACGTGTCATTGAATTATTTGGCTGCAAACTGGAAAACACAAAGCCCACTTCGCATGCCAACCCGTGGAAGCTTTTATTCCCCGTGATTCTTACTTAAAAGCCATGCATCGGTGTGCATAGAGGGCGATCAAAGGCAATAGAAGAAGAAACATGCCATCCTCCAAGTGGTATGAAAAGGCGCGTGCAAGGATCCCGTTCGAGAAGGGTGCGAGAGACGCTCGTCCCTTGGGAGGGACTGACTTTGTCCGACTCGACCATCCTTCTGCTTAATGTTACACGGCTCGCGTTCTCTAGATGGAAGAACGTCGCGTAGGTTGCATTGCACCGATATCGCGAAAGATGGTGAAAGACAAGGGGGGGAAAAGGATCGATATACCCGCCACGGTATAAGAAAATATCCTTGAGAGAGAAGCGCGATATTATTTAACTCGTTTTTCTTTTTTTTTTTTTCTTTTTTTGCAAATTCCACGTTTTCCATTTGAATAAAATTTTTTCGAATACGCGTATATCCGCTCTTCTGAACGGTGATCAGAAATTCTATCGTATTTTTATTAAGGGGGACTCGGATAAAATCTGATGCGTTGATATCTTCCAATTACAACAATAACCAGTAACGATAACAATGGGTCTCGCTTCCATCGATTTTTATACAAAATACATACGTTCTTCTTTTTCATCGCGCGCGCATTTCCATTTCCCCATCGAAGAAGGGAACGGTTAAATCGTGTTTCACCGTTGGCATAGGAAATGTAGGTTAAAAAAATAAAAACCCATAAAATCGTCCCGCGAGAGTGCTTGCCTGCGATTCGATTTTTGGCGGGGGATATCGGTGGAGAAAAGAGGATGGAGGAGGAAAGAGTAGTAGCGGCAGTCTGTCCGTATTCCCAGAAAAAGAAAGGCGGCCGAGAGGAGAAGAGGACGAGAAGGGATCGATAGCCGAACACAACGGGGAAAATCCCGATGGAAAACGCGTGGAAAACGCGGATACGTTGCTCTGGCACTCGTCACGAAGGGTGAGAGAGAGAGAGAGAGAGACAGAGAGAGAGAGAGGGGGCAAAAGTCGCGACAGCAGCCAGTCGAGCGATCGAAGGGCGTGGAACAAAACCCAATTAAGTCCGTCGAAGTCCAACTTCCGTCGAGCCGTTACATGGAAAACATTTTCTGGGTGAAACTGGTTAGGCCATTTAAGCTGAGTTCGCGTATAGCATCGACCTTATCGTCTCTGAATACTTGATAAAAAAAATTGATAACGGAAAAAAAGAAAATCTCCTGAATGGTTAAGTTCATTCAGTTCGCATACTTATGCATTGCGAAAAAATTTTGAATTTACGGTGGGAAAAAAAGAAAAGGGGGGAGAAGAAGAAAGAAAAAAAAAGTATTCCATTGTTTCGTTCGAGAACCGAGTAAAATATTTAATTGCTATTAAAACCAGAAATTTTATATTCCCTTGTACAAATACATATCGAAACCATTATTCGTTATACAATATTTCAATTATCGACCGCTATTCAGAGTTACACGCTATTATCACACGTGAGATTTATATCAAATACCACCGAAACGAATTACAAGCGCTCAACATTCATTTGTTCAAACAATACAATGTTTGAATACGTTAACTAACGTTAATTTTATAAAGTTCGCGCGATACCGTTTGAATATTATACGACACGTGTTGAAAATCGTTGATCGAGAATAATTGAAATTTTCATTTTAGGCAAGATAAGATATTCCTCGGTTAAGATAAATGAAAAATATTGTACAAGGGAGAAAAACGCAGAAAATACAAAAGTAATCTCTCGCGTCACCTATCGCTCTTCAACAAAATATTCGATGAATCTGACGCGACGTCGAGCCGTTTTCATAGGTTGTTATCCTCGGGAGATCCGAGTTAGGTATTCCTCTCGCGCTCTTTTTCAAGCCTGCTTCGTCAATCTGCTTCAAGGGTACGACCTTCGATTAAAAGGTTTCGATTCAAAGCGCTCGACCGCCATCACCGTGAAATCGATATCGCGTCGGGAAGAATGTAACGAATCGCGAAAAGATCGGATATATTTCGCACGAGAATTACGTACGCGCGTTTTAAAGAAATTATATCCGTCAAAATTTCTTCTATTCAAATTTCCCTCTTTGACGATTGTTTCGATTTATCGTGATATCGTTTAATTAACAAGAGAAGATAAACGCCTCGACCTCGCGACGCGGAAGAAAGACTGAAAGAAGTGAAAACCCAGAAGGCGAACTCGCGTGGACTTCGATTTAAAAAAAGCTCAAACAACTTTGACCCAGAAAGGAGCTGCCTCATTACCCGCCGATTAATTCGAAACGACTTAATTAGTATATCTTTGCGTCAAGCAGCTCGCCGACACATTCGTGCGCGTTGATTAGGTGGAAGGTATCCAACTTTGTGAAAAAACTTTTTTAATCTATTAAAAGCGTGGCGGAGGAAAAGGAGAAGGAGGATCTCCTTTCCCTTTTCTCGTCCACGATATTTTAATCCCCGATAAACCTTTTATATTATCGCGAGTCGAAAGGCGATACCTAATCGCGATTGTTCGCGATTCAGCTTTTCACTCGCGTCCATTCGATAAATTTCCGTTACAGGGGTTGCATCAGAAACTGAAATCACAAAGCGGGTAAAACCCTGCTCGGAATCGGAAACCGCGCGCATAACGCCAACCTCGACGAAACTTATGCATCATGCATGCACGCTCTCAGAGATCGCCCATGGGATAATATGTCGGTCTGGTTGCTCTTCTCAGATTATCGCACTC